GGCCCACCCACACAGGCCCACCCACACATGCCCACCCACACATGCCCACCCACACATGCCCACCCACACATGCCCACCCACACATGCCCACCCACACAGGCCCACCCACACAGGCCCACCCACACAGGCCCACCCACACAGGCCCACCCACACAGGCCCACCCACACAGGCCCACCCACACAGGCCCACCCACACAGGCCCACCCACACAGGCCCACCCACACAGGCCCACCCACACAGGCCCACCCACACATGCCCACCCACACATGCCCACCCACACAGGCCCACCCACACAGGCCCACCCACACATGCCCACCCACACATGCCCACCCACACAGGCCCACCCACACAGGCCCACCCACACAGGCCCACCCACACATGCCCACCCACACATGCCCACCCACACATGCCCACCCACACATGCCCACCCACACATGCCCACCCACACAGGCCCACCCACACAGGCCCACCCACACAGGCCCACCCACACAGGCCCACCCACACAGGCCCACCCACACAGGCCCACCCACACAGGCCCACCCACACAGGCCCACCCACACAGGCCCACCCACACAGGCCCACCCACACAGGCCCACCCACACATGCCCACCCACACATGCCCACCCACACAGGCCCACCCACACAGGCCCACCCACACATGCCCACCCACACAGGCCCACCCACACAGGCCCACCCACACAGGCCCACCCACACATGCCCACCCACACATGCCCCACCCACACAGGCCCACCCACACAGGCCCACCCACACATGCCCACCCACACATGCCCACCCACACAGGCCCACCCACACAGGCCCACCCACACATGCCCACCCACACATGCCCACCCACACAGGCCCACCCACACAGGCCCACCCACACATGCCCACCCACACATGCCCACCCACACAGGCCCACCCACACAGGCCCACCCACACAGGCCCACCCACACATGCCCACCCACACATGCCCACCCACACATGCCCACCCACACATGCCCACCCACACAGGCCCACCCACACAGGCCCACCCACACAGGCCCACCCACACAGGCCCACCCACACAGGCCCACCCACACAGGCCCACCCACACAGGCCCACCCACACAGGCCCACCCACACAGGCCCACCCACACAGGCCCACCCACACAGGCCCACCCACACAGGCCCACCCACACAGGCCCACCCACACAGGCCCACCCACACAGGCCCCCACACAGCCCACCCACAGGCCCACCCACACAGGCCCACCCACACAGGCCCACCCACACAGGCCCACCCACACAGGCCACCCACACAGGCCCACCCACACAGGCCCCACCCACACAGGCCCACCCACACAGGCCCACCACACAGGCCCACCCACACAGGCCCACCCACACAGGCCCACCCACACAGGCCCACCCACACAGGCCCACCCACACAGGCCCACCCACACAGGCCCACCCACACAGGCCCACCCACACAGGCCCACCCACACATGCCCACCCACACATGCCCCACCCACACATGCCCACCCACACAGGCCCACCCACACAGGCCCACCCACACAGGCCCACCCACACCGGCCCACCCACACAGGCCCACCCACACAGGCCCACCCACACAGGCCCACCCACACAAGGCCCACCCACACAGGCCCACCCACACAGGCCCACCCACACAGGCCCACCCACACAGGCCCACCCACACAGGCCCACCCACACAGGCCCACCCACACAGGCCCACCCACACAGGCCCACCCACACAGGCCCACCCACACAGGCCCCACCCACACAGGCCCACCCACACAGGCCCACCCACACAGGCCCACCCACACAGGCCCACCCACACAGGCCCACCCACACAGGCCCACCCACACAGGCCCACCCACACAGGCCCACCCACACAGGCCCACCCACACAGGCCCACCCACACAGGCCCACCCACACATGCCCACCCACACAGGCCCACCCACACAGGCCCACCCACACAGGCCCACCCACACAGGCCCACCCACACAGGCCCACCCACACATGCCCACCCACACAGGCCCACCCACACATGCCCACCCACACAGGCCCACCCACACAGGCCCACCCACACAGGCCCACCCACACAGGCCCACCCACACAGGCCCACCCCACACAGGCCCACCCACACAGGCCCACCCACACAGGCCCACCCACACAGGCCCACCCACACAGGCCCACCCACACAGGCCCACCCACACAGGCCCACCCACACAGGCCCACCCACACAGGCCCACCCACACAGGCCCACCCACACAGGCCCACCCACCACAGGCCCACCCACACAGGCCCACCCACACAGGCCCACCCACACAGGCCCACCCACACAGGCCCACCCACACAGGCCCACCCACACAGGCCCACCCACACAGGCCCACCCACACAGGCCCACCCACACAGGCCCACCCACACAGGCCCACCCAAGCCACACACAGGCCCACCCACACAGGCCCACCCACACAGGCCCACCCACACAGGCCCCACCCACACAGGCCCACCCACACAGGCCCACCCACACAGGCCCACCCACACAGGCCCACCCACACAGGCCCACCCACACAGGCCCACCCACACAGGCCCACCCACACAGGCCCACCCACACAGGCCCACCCACACAGGCCCACCCCACACAGGCCCACCCACACAGGCCCACCCACACAGGCCCACCCACACAGGCCCACCCACACAGGCCCACCCACACAGGCCCACCCACACAGGCCCACCCACACAGGCCCACCCACACAGGCCACCCACACAGGCCCACCCACACAGGCCCCACCACACAGGCCCACCCCACACAGGCCCACCCACACAGGCCCACCACACAGGCCCACCCACACATGCCCACCCACACAGGCCCACCCACACAGGCCCACCCACACAGGCCCACCCACACAGGCCCACCCACACAGGCCCACCCACACAGGCCCACCCACACAGGCCCACCCACACAGGCCCCACCCACACAGGCCCACCCACACATGCCCACCCACACAGGCCCCACCCACACATGCCCACCCACACAGGCCCACCCCACACAGGCCCACCCACACAGGCCCACCCACACAGGCCCACCCACACAGGCCCACCCACCACAGGCCCACCCACACAGGCCCACCCACACAGGCCCACCCACACAGGCCCACCCACACAGGCCCACCCACACAGGCCCACCCACACAGGCCCACCCACACAGGCCCACCCACACAGGCCCACCCACACCGGCCCACCCACCCACACAGGCCCACCCACACAGGGCCCACCCACACAGGCCCACCCAACACAGGCCCACCCACACAGGCCCACCCACACAGGCCCACCCACACAGGCCCACCCACACAGGCCCACCCACACAGGCCCACCCACACAGGCCCACCCACACAGGCCCACCCACACAGGCCCACCCACACAGGCCCACCCACACAGGCCCCACCCACACAGGCCCACCCACACAGGCCCACCCACACAGGCCCACCCACACATGCCCACCCACACAGGCCCACCCACACAGGCCCACCCACACAGGCCCACCCACACAGGCCCACCCACACAGGCCCACCCACACAGGCCCACCCACACAGGCCCACCCACACAGGCCCACCCCACACAGGCCCACCCCACACAGGCCCACCCACACAGGCCCACCCACACAGGCCCACCCACACAGGCCCACCCACACAGGC